AAGCCATTTCTCAATATCTTGGTCGAAAAGCTAGTTTGGTATCTGGTGACTTCTCCAAATTCTGTGTCTGTGGTGGGAAACGCGAAGTTGTTCAGCAAACAATCAATCAATGTACAGGTCATGCAGAAGTGATTGATCTCCAAGAGAAACAACTTCAGGTTAGAACATTAAATCATTCAAAGCATTAAGCAATTTGAATTATATAGCAATTGATCTAGATGCTTCTTTTGTATTAAGATTTCTGTTTCATTACAGCTATCTTATTATCAATTTTATGTTACAGTAACATAATGTCTTCTTCTGTCTTTTTGATTTCAGGAGTTGAAGTTACAATTTCAGGACACTAAAGGAGAAGTCAAACAAATTCAATTATACTGGGTAGATGAACTTAACCGGCTTGGTGAGGCTGAAATCATAATTCTCCTACATTAGTTTACTGTAGTTATATTTTTACTTGAAAGAACCCAGAATTGCAGTTTCCACTGAAGTTATATTTTACTTATCTCAGAACATTATATTAAGAATCTTGAAGTGGCCTCCTCTTCGTACCAGAAGGTTTTAGAGGAAAACCGAGTACTTTACAATCAAGTCCAAGATCTTAAAGGTGCCTTTCCCTTATCTTCTTTGCTTTGGAAACTTGTATATCTTATGTTATATGAAGCTTATCTTATGACTTTGGTGCAGGAACAATAAGAGTTTATTGTAGAGTTCGACCGTTTTTACCAGGGCAATCGCATGGACAATCAACGGTTGATTATATAGGTGAAAATGGAAACATCATGGTTGTTAATCCTTTCAAACAAGGCAAAGATGCAAGAAAGATGTTCTTATTCAATAAGGTGTTTGCACCAAATGTCTCACAAGGTATTTCTTCTTTCTTGAAGGCTTTTCGATTCGGTTTATAGTCCAAGTCCAAAATTTTACATTTGTTCTATGACATAGTTGGGGTCATCCTAAAGTCAGTTCTTCAAATTTTTATCAGTGATCTGCTTGTTCCCTTCTGATGGTTTTTGATCTTGTGCACAGAACAAATATATGTCGACACTCAACCGTTGGTCAGGTCTGTTCTAGATGGTTATAATGTCTGCATATTTGCATACGGACAAACTGGCTCAGGAAAAACATACACAATGGTAAGACCGAACTTGTTTCCAGAGTTAAATTCTGGAAATTAAGAAGCGAACATATCTTCTCAACTTCGTTTTATGTAACTGGTATATGACATTTTTTCTTTACTTGTGACAGAGTGGCCCTGATTTGACAACTGAGGAGACATGGGGTGTAAACTATCGAGCTCTGCGCGACTTATTTCAAATATCAAAGACAAGGGGGGATGCAATAAAGTATGAGGTTGGAGTCCAGATGATTGAAATATACAATGAACAAGTGAGAGATTTGCTAGTCAGTGATGGCTCCAATAGAAGATATCCTTTCAAAATTTACTTTCAATAATACAATCAATAATTTCATCAACCTTTGTACATCGGCAATAAATTTGAGTTGAATGGCGTCTTAGCAGTTGATTAGCCTTAACATCAATATACATTAGATATACGTAACACTGCTCAGTCAAATGGCCTTAATGTACCAGATGCAAGTTTGATTCCTGTTATAAGTACTGAAGATGTTCTTGATTTGATGAAAATCGGCCAGAAGAATCGTGCTGTTGGTGCTACTGCTCTAAATGAGCGAAGTAGTCGTTCCCACAGGTACAAATTTTCTTTGAGCAGAACTTAACTCAATTCTTTCAATGTATCATTGTTGATTAATTTAGTAATGGTTTCTGAATGCTCCATTCCACCTGCAGTGTTTTGACAGTTCATGTTCTGGGAAAAGAATTAGTCACGGGATCCATTCTTAAGGGTTGCCTTCATCTGGTGGATTTGGCTGGAAGCGAAAGAGTTGACAAATCTGAAGCTGTTGGTGAAAGGTTGAAGGAAGCTCAATATATTAATAGATCACTTTCTGCGCTTGGCGATGTCATCTCAGCTCTCGCGCAAAAGAGTACACATATACCTTACAGGAACAGCAAGCTTACTCAAGTATTGCAGGATTCTTTAGGTACATTCAGACTTTTACTTGCTCTTTCCATTCAGTTTTTTCCTCTCAATTATCTTCAGTCTTTCAGTCTGTTCATTATTTTTAATTTTTGAATAGGTGGGCAAGCAAAAACATTAATGTTTGTACACATAAATCCTGAATCAAATGCTATTGGGGAGACCATTAGCACACTCAAGTTTGCTGAGAGAGTTTCCTCCATAGAACTTGGTGCTGCTAAATCGAACAAAGAAAGTGGTGAAATTCGAGAACTTAAAGAAGAGGTTTATTTCTCATCCTCACCTGTACAATTCTTATCCTTGCTTGTATCCAAAACTTACAACGATTTTTCGGCATTTAGATATCAAACCTCAAACAATCATTAGAGAGAAAGGAGGCAGAGTTGGAACAACTGAAAGGTGGAAGTACAAGAAGCACAACAGAAACTCAAAAACAAAGAGCAGTTTCACCTTTTCAAGTGCCAAAATATGGTATCAGTGCTAGCTTGAAGCCCGATACAAATCAGCTAGAGGTAACAGAAAACGCTGCAAATTGGTTTTCCAAGGCAATTTCTAAATTTGCATATGTTTATGGATAATTCATCTCCGATATGTGGTTGTATTTGATCTTTCAGGCTAGAAGCTGTTCTTCAGGCAAGCAAAGGAGGTCAAGATTTCCTTCCGCCTTGACAGACAGGGAACAACTACCTAGAATGCCTCTTGTGTCTGAAGAGAGATTAGGAGGGTCTGCAAAGACAAGAACACCATCCCCTTCTGTTAGAAGATCAATATCAACTGATAGAGGAGCTGTTATCAGAAGTAGGGTCAAGGCTGACACAATTGAGAACCAACCGGTTGCTCGAGTACCGTTTCCTGCTAGAGTACCGGTCAATAAATCCATTGCCGCATTTCCATCAATCACACCATCAACAGATAACAACAACTCCAGGGTATATTTAGGTCCGCAGGAACCACAAAACCAGGATAATTTATCTGATAAATTGTCTAGCCTCCAAAAGGTCACCTCGCGAAAAGTATACCCAGATCATGAAGATGACCAATTCAGGCAATCGCTTAATATAAGACAAGGTGGTATTAGAAAAAGCAAGCCGGAGAGCAAGGCGAAGGCAAAGCATCAACTGCCATCTAGGATCCAGAAATCTGATATGGGAATATCATTGCTTTCTGATATCGATACTGCTGAAAAGATTGAAGAGGCTAGAACGAACGGCTTCTCTGAGCCAGAAAACGAGCTTCTACTTGCACCAGCAGTGAATGATGCCTTGAAGGTGAAGAAAGTTCGACAAAACTTCTCAATGAACTCACAGAATCTTGAACCAAGGTACACATTAAATCTTTATGGAACCTTGTCATTGGGAAAAAACTAGATTAGTTTCTGTTAACAGTTGACATTTGTATCTTCACGCATTCATGTTAATAATTGCAGCATGTCTGAATGTATGCAGGGGACAAGTGCAGCAAGCAGAACCAATTTTGGCTCCAAGACTTGAAAACAAGCTTCCAAATGGTCAAAATCACCAAGCAAAGGAAGGAGGCAACACATCAATGCCAGAATTTCGGAGGAGTCGATCTACACCTCGAGGAAAGTTTTTGGTTATACCTTGAGGATTCACAGTAAACAGAAATGAAATTCATTGCCACTGATAATTTTATTATTTTTTGTACATTCACTGTTCCTGTTGGAGTCTTGAGTTGCATAATCCTTTTTTTTCTTTTTTACTTTTCAAACAGAATTCTGAGGATGTTTTGGAGATAGAATTGTGGAACCTCTTTCTCTATAATTGAATATAAAATATATATATGTATTTTCTCACTGTTCTTATATTGTAAATCAATTAACCTGCATTCGAGTGTCTACTCCTAGTTTTTCATTTTTAATGGATTGATGATTGAAGTTTTGAGCAAATTTCTTTAGTTCATGAATACTTTAAAAACCATTTGATTCAGATTGCCATAGTATCAAGATTTTCATTATTATAACCCCCTACATTTAAAAACTTAGCAAAAACAATTCCATAATAAAAGTTTAAAAAATCAGCAATGCACCCCCACTAACCTAGCCACCGCCGATTGTTGGCAGCCAGCAACCTAACGGCACACAGAAGGCAAGAAATGGCCAGATCGTGGTAGATTTGACCAGAAAACGGTCAAATCTAATCTAGTCGTTTTTGGTCAAATCTGTCGATTTGACTATCAACGGCTAAATTGATGGCAGTTAACGGCCACAAACGTGGTCATTAACGACCATCGATTTGGCCGTTGACGGCCAGATCTATCACAATGTGGCCATTTTCGATCAGATCTGTAGCCAGAAATGGTCATATCGGCCCACGACGGCCATTTTCAGCCTTCCATACACCGTTCCATTGGCGGTGATAGGTGGGTGGGGGTGGTGGCTTGGGTAGACTGTAATTTGTTTTGAATTCAAGGGTAATTTTGTCAAAAAAGTTAATTAATTGAGGTAAAATAGTAAAAGTTATATTCATGTAAATTAATTTAGAAATAATGGTATTATTGTTCTAAAGTTTTATTAATAAGAGATAAAATTATAACAAAAAAAACCTTGATAATCTTATAATATTTAAGAAAATAGAAGTAATCAGATTACTTCTAATATTACTAACAGTAACTATTGTTGATATTTGAAGGTTACTAAAATTTTATATTATTTGACAACTAAATATGATAACTAAGTAATATAAGATGATATATCCTCTATAATCACACGTAACCTCCAATCAAACAGCCCTATGTAACAACCCAACAACTTGGAGATACAGACGAATTCAACTACTAACATTCACAAAATTTATTTTATTTTCAAACCAAGTATAAATGTGAAAAGCTTTTTAAAAGTTCGATAATCGCGCCAACGGTAGGTTGCAGAAAATATAATTAATAAATTACGCGCCTTAGAGACACTGTCAAACACGCGCCGCTGGAACGAAATCTAGTCTTTCTTTTCACATTAAAAACCCTTTCGCCTCTCAAACTTGAAATTGAAATTCAAAATGGCAATGGTAGCGGAAATATCGGGCTCAAAATCTCGTATCCGTTTCAATTTCGCGTCTTCGTGATTCCCTGGTGAGAGTTATCACTCAATTTTGGTTTTAATATCTGTTACCATCTGTTTGGTGCTAAAAGTGAAGGAAAAGAAAAGAAATTATACATCATGGAACCATTTTCTTATTTTCGTAACTTGTAGAGCTTTCCCCAATTAGAAAAATATAATTTTTATTCAGTTATATGCTAAAGTTTTTTTATTTTGCTTATTTTTAGGGTGAGGAAAACAGTGCAATTTTGTGTGCAAAAGGAAGGACTATAGTTCATCGGCTCCTGTTAAATATGTTCCCAAGAAATTTTCAAAGACAAACAAAACGGAAAATTGTTTGCCCATAAAGAGTTTGGAGAGTGCGAATACCGAAAGGTGTGGATGCCAGTGAATTGAGAATTGACGTTAAAATGGTGGAGATGTAAAGAAGTATTGCTTTGATGAGAAGGTTCGAAATCAAAGTCGAATGACTGATACAACCTGTTATTTGATGATTCTAAGCGAGGTGAAAAGTCCTTAACTTACTTATGTATGAAATGATATATAATTCTTTTTAATGGATTTAGAGTATGATCATTGTTGTTGTATGCATAATGCTTGTGCATTTTTATAGATGAATTTCTAAAAGAATTACAGCAATTTCTTAGTAGGCTTTTTGTGGGGTTGCTTTCTACTTTAGCTATAATTCATCATGATTATTCCTCATAGGTTTAATCACGTTGGCATTATGCTTGAGATTTTTGGTCATTTTGCAGCTTTTGAAGAAGAAAATGGTGATTGGGAGTTTATAGAGCATGGACTGATGGAAGAAACTGAGGAGTTTATTGAAGAACCCCAGGAGGTAGTGGAGGAGATGAATATCCGTCAAGGAAAAGATCTTGTAAACAAGCTGTGTTACGAGGCAGTACAACCATACAGGACGCTGAGAATTTGGCTATCAAATTACTTGCAACAAGGTTAGTTTGTAGCTTTTACTAACAATAAGGATTCGTTTATCAACTTATTTAGTGTTTCAGTTGGTATCTTGTTTGTTCATGTTTAAAGCTTTCTAGCAGAATTGGCTCACCGCTCTTAGAAAAATAGGTTCATACTTGATAAATTTGTTAAATGCATGACATAAAGCGAGTTGTTCTAATAATTTTTGTTCTTAGCTACACGGAAATAAAATATTTCCTTTGGATATCTCCTTTTTTCTGTAAACTTGTATTCATATTATTTCTAGTGCACTGAAATTATATGTCTTTTGTCTTAAGCTTGTTTTCTTCTTCTGAAGAGCATTTACAGCGGTTGAGCTTAGAAAGAAACTGAATGAAAGAAGTTTCCTCTCTAATTGTCGAGGCAGTGATACTGATTTTCAGAGCAGGTACAGACCATGATTTTCTTTTCTGAAGGAGTTTGTGCTACTTATTGGAACTACCATCATCGTTTTTGAAAAGTTCACTTGGCTTGTTTCTGAGAAGTCTCTGACCTTTTTCCTGTATGGCAGAGGGCTGATCAAGATGGCTTGTATGCCGAGCATTTTCACGTCTAGATGGTCTACTTCAACCTGGGGACCTAGACGGATAAAGCAAGTAAGTATTTTTTTATAGCATAGGTTTACTTAATGAATTTATATATTGTTTATGAATGGCTTTATTTTATGAATGATGGAACTTCAGAGGTTGTCTTTCTACATCCTATAGGAAGCTAGTCCTAATATTATTGACCATGAATTCTTGGCGCATTTTTGTTGGATCAGGCATTGTTCAACAAGGGAATGTGGAACTGATGCAGACAGGCAGTAAAACTGTTTTTCCAGGATGCTGAATCTGATGGAGAGCAAGAATCAAAACTTGGCATGTCAAAGCTTCAATGGATCAACTTTTTGTTCAGGCCAAGAAGCAATGGCTCCGAGTAGGATGACACCGAAAGAAACACGTAAAACAAGGATTATTCGTTGGCTTCATTACCGTGGTTTCACTGGGAATTACTAGTTTCATATTAAGAAGTTAGAATCCATTATCCCTACCTAGGCACATAAATGAATTCTCTTCGACATGTTGTCGATGGAATGATGATCCATAGCCCATTATCTTGAAATGTAAGTTTTTTGTATGAAAAGGTTCATTACACCCACCATTGGAACATGCTGAAATGTCAAAAGTTTAGTTTGCTGGAGCCCACAACAGAGACAAAGTTGTGTTCATAAATTATAGGTGTATGAAATGGCCAAAGGTTTTTTATTTTTTATTTTTGCTACTTTTTCTTTTAACTATTTCTAACTTCAATATGTTTTGTGATGCTATTTAAAAATAGAACCTTAGTTACTTGTTCACGAGTAGTTTAACACAAATACTTTTCTAATGAAAATATACTAAGTATCATAAGTTTTGAAGCTGCAATTTCTTCATCCATTTTGTCATAGTTCATATCCTTGTTTGTGGAGATGGATTAAAGCTGACTTAGATTAATCTGAAACTCATTGGAGGAAATACAAACTCGTGTTCTAAATTTTTGAGTGGTTTCATTTAAGTTATATAATTTAAAAGAAGTTATTAAAGAATGAATACATATATCACATTTGTAGTTTTCTTTCTCTATCATCTAGCTTAACAATGCTTATAACTGATAGTTTTTTAATGACATATTTATCTTTACATGTAATATTATTGATTACATGCACGAGACTTGGACAGGCATACAATTTTATAAATCCTAAATAGAATACAAAAATCATATATTTTGATGTTCAGGTTACACATTGGGCTAAAGGTCAAGATTAATTATTGTCAACAGTTTAAGGAATCAGATCAAGTCCTAAGACTAAAGAAAGATTCTGAATATCCCTGTTAGCTTATTGCCCTGGCAGGGATACATGTCAAGCTTTTTAGATTGCCACTGGCCAACAGGAATCTCACCCGAAAATTTATTGTTGTTAATACAGATGAGTCAGCTTTGTGCAGTTTACAATTTCAACAGGTATTATACCTGACACCTGATTATGTAGATATCCAATACTTTCAGCTCTTTGCAGCTTCCAATATCACCTGGAATTGCACCCACTAAACTGTTGTTCCATAATATTAGTTCCTGAAGCTTCACAAGTTTTCCAAAACTTCTCGTATGCTGCCAATCAGAAAATTATTCGAGACATAGAATGTTTCAATTCTGTGCAGTTTCCAAAATCGTCAGGAATTGCACCCTCAAGCCGTTACAATAAGCTTACATATTGAAGCTTTTGTAAGTTTTCCAAAGCTTCTCGGTATGCTGCCAGTTAGACGATTCATTGCGATATCCAAGCTTGTCACACTCTGTGTAGTTTCCAAAATATCAGGAATTGCACCCACTAAACTATTGTTCAATAACTTAGTTCCTGAAGCTTCACAAGGTTTCCAAAACTTCTCGGTATGCTGCCAGTCAGAGAATTATTTGTGGCATAAATTTTTCAACTCTGTGCAGTTTCCAAAATCGTCAGGAATTGCACCCTCAAAGCTGTTACCCCATAATCTTACATCTTGAAGCTTCTTTAGTTTTCCAAAACTTCTCGGTATGTGTCCAGTTAGAAGATTTGTTGGACAATATAAATATCAGCTCGCTGCAGTTTCCAATCTCTTCTGGGATATGACCTGACAGTGTGTTTCATAAAGGGTAACTCTTGAATTCTTTTGAGCTTTCCAATTCGACTTGGATTGGGCCAGAATTGAAGTATTACAAGTACAGGTCTGCAATTGGTTGCAATTTCCATCTCTTCTGGGATATGACCTGATAGTTTGTGTTAGAAAGCTCTAAATCTTGAATTTTTTTTAGCATTCCAATTTGACTTGGGATTGGGCCAGAGATTGAGGTACTAACAAGTACATATCTGCAACTCTCTCGCTACAGTTTCCAATCTCTTCTGGGATATGACCTGACAATTGTGTTTCATAAAGGTGTAGCTCTTGAATTCTTTTGAGCATTCCAATTGATGAGGAATACTTCCAGAATTGTTGTTTCCGTGAAGCTTAAATACTAAGTTGGTGCAGTTTCCTATCTCTATTGGTAGTTCACCCTCTAGATAATCCCGGTCTGCCTGAAAAGTCTGTAGGTTGCTCAATTCTCCAATAGTTTTTTGGAATTTTCCCATTGAGTTGATTCTCGTAGAGCATCAGATCTGAAAGGTTGACAAGTTTCCAACGCCGAAAGGAATTTCGCCTTTAAGAAAGTTCGTGTTGAGATATAAACCTTGCATCTATTTAGCCGGCATATTTCCTTGGGGATTTCACCTAAAGAGAATTGTCACTGAGATCAATGAAAGTGAGCTGTGTATTTCTCCAAGTTCTTTTGGGATTGTGCCCGTGAGATTGCAAGATGATATAGTAAGTTCTTCAAGGACTTGAAGATTGAAAATTTGAAGGCAATGGACCTTCCAATTCTACTCCTTTCAGGCTTATATCGCCACTTCTCCCTTTGAGTTGCAGTATATCCCAAACCATTTGCATGGACTGGTCTGTAAATTCCAATTTTTCAATGCTCAGTGGGGCAGCTTAAACTTTTCTTCCATGTTAAAAGAGCTTGGCCTTGTTCATCAAGAGAATAACAAGAGAGAGCATAAGAGAGTTTATTGACGAACCAAGGTGATGAAGGAGAAGATTTTTGGATAAACAAGCGATTCATTACTGTTTTAGGCATTGCTTAGAGTGAGAAGAGGTGGAGTGGTGTTTATTTGGAATTGTGAAAGAAATACAAGGGCAAGTATTTAAAAACTCATTCCATTTCCCTGTCCCCGCCACCCAAAGGACATGCTTTCCATTGTTAATTAATGCAATGTAACTTGGACAAACAATTCTTTAGGAATTTTTCAGTAATTTTCAAATTTGACGAGAGGAATGTATGTGCTAGTTTCAGAAGTGGTGTTGTAAATTATTACTGTATTAGCTAATGAACTGAAAGTCTCTTTTGATTGAGACACAATCATTTTATATTATATAGTATATACCAATTTTCATTGTTATCTTTTTGAATCGTCATTTAAACTGATACTTTATTTTCTATTGTTGTTTTTGAATGATGAAGATGATAAATTTCTGGTAGTGGGGAGTTGCAAATGTCATTAACCTTCTAATTAGATATTGACTTAAACAACCCACGACTGTAAATTCTACTATAAATAATGGCGTCAAAAAGCCAATCGTGTGGAACAACGCCACAATAATAACAACATTTTAAATGATATCTGATTTCACTTTTAAATAAGGTTTTATAATATTTAAAGTTGAATGTAATAAAGTGATGATATATCAATTACGATATGGCATGTAAGAACCCTGTTTGAGTTTGTGTATTGCATATATATGACAGACCTTATGGAGGAAGAAGTGTAAAGAAGGAATTACAAAGAAGTAGAAGAGAGAGAAGTGTTATAATATTGCATAATGCAATTCTCAGGATGGTTTTCTGAATTTTCTGTCATTTTCTCATTCTCATTTCTCTCGATCCAAACATCGCAAATCACACTTAATATAAGAAAATCTTTATTGAAGTTCGTCGAACTTACGGAGCTTACGTCAATAACCATCTGAGTGTTAATAAAATTAATAATCTCACAATGTTCACTATAATAACCCTTTCTCTGTTCTATTGTTGATTATACATTCTATTTTTGTTATATTTACACAATATCTCATAAAAATTAGATAAGCTTTATGTGATATTAAAAATTCTAAGATCAAAAGATCTTACAAAACTCAATTCTAAGTCTTTGTTTACAAAAGCCATTTATTTATGTATTTAGCATGACAATTTACTCGTAAATATCTGTCTGCTCCAGCTAACCAATAAAGAGCTATCACGTCGGGCTTTGTGACAAAATTATTGAGTTGAGTTGTAGACCTATCATTACT